ATTTTGAAGCAAAGACTCAGGAAGTCAATGTGATGATGCAAAGATTAAAACGAAGGGTTGGAAGCGTCAAGTGTGGAATAGAGAGAATGGGAAGAGAAGGAGGTGGTTTCTGTGCACGTTCAGTTCAGCTCCTAGCTGAGCATTGTTGAGCGAAATTGTTTGGAATGTTTCCAGATGCTGATCCCAAACTGTCACAATTTATCAAAACTGAATTTGCTTTTACATTTGTTTTCATTTACTGGGACATTCTTTCTCCACACATATGGGCATGGAGTTATAGGGATGTGTTCCCAATGGGAGCTGGTTCTCAGTGATTGTCGATTATGTTCCATTGAGTCTTGAAGGTAATACAGCTTCCCAAGATTAGTGATGTTCGCTAAGCTTCAACAAAAAGCCCACTCAGATGGCTTTCAGTGTACAGCCACCAGCTGCTGTGCTCTGTCCCTCCCTCAGGAATGCTCACTTTATGGCATAGGACCTTTTATTTATTCGTTATTCTTCCATACAAACAAGGAACAAGAGAACAACAAAAACAGAAAATGCTAGAGAAACTCAGCAGGTCTGGCAGCATCTGTGGATAGAGAAACAGAGTTAATGTTTCGAGTCCAATAACTTTCCATCAAAACAGTTCCGAGGAACAGTTTGAAACATTATCCATTTTCTCTCCACAGGTGCGACCAGATCTGCTGAGTTTCTCCAGCATTCTCTGTTTATGTTACAGATTTCCAGCATTTGCAGTGTTTTGCCTTTATTAAAGGAACGAGTAGGCCACTCAGCCCTTCAAACCTACTCTGCCATCCAATAAGATCATGGCTGATCCGATTTTAACCTCAACTCTACAGTCCTACACATCCCCAATAATATTTCATCCCCTTGGTCATCAAGAATCTATCTCCTTCTGCCTTACAAATATTTAAAGGTTCTGTATCCATTGCCTTTTGAGAAAGAGAATTTCAAAGACTCACACCCCTCTGAGAGAAAATAAAATTCCTCAATTGCCCTTGCAATAAGCCATAGCATTCTATAAGCTTTCCTGATTACTTGCTGTATCTGTAAACAAATCTTTTATGATTCATGCACTATGACACACAGATCCCTCTGCATCTCAAAACTGTGCAATCTCTCACCATTCAGACTATGTTTTTTGATTATTCTTTGTGTCAAAATGGACAATTTCATACTTTCCCATATTGTATTCCCTTTGCCAGATCTTTGCACATTCACTAAAGCAATCTACATCTCCTATGTCCTCTTCACAATTCACTTTCTGACCTATCTTTGTATCAACAACAAATTTAGCTCCCGTACCTTTGATCCCTTCATCATTTCTATAAATTGTAAAGTGTTGAGGGCCCTGTGGAACACCATTCATGACATCCTGTCAGCCTAAAAAAGACTCACTTATTCCTACTCTCTGCTTCCTGTTAGCCTGCCAATCTTTTATTCACACCAATACATTACTCCTTACACCATGAGCTTTTATTTTCTGCAGTAACAGTGTCTTATGGCATTTAGAGAAATTTTTGTCCATCCCTAACTATCCTAGAAACTGAGAGACTTGGTAAGCCATTGCAGACAGCAGTTAAGAGTCAACCACATTGCAGTGGGTCTGGAGTCACATGTAGGCCAGACCAGGTAAGGAACAACATTTCCTCTCCTAAAAGACATTAGTGAACCAGACTGGTTTCTCCTCAACAATTGACAATTTCATGGTCCAGGTTTTTATTTTATTCCATCTGCCGTGGAAGGATTTAAACCCAAGTCCCCAGAACATTACGTGGATCTCTGGATTAATAGCCTTGCAATAAAACCACTGGGCCATCACCTCCCCCATGATAAGCTGAATGGCCCCCTCCCATGCTGTCATTTTCTATTGTACTGAATCTGAGCCTCACTGTTTGTATTTGCAGGTTGGTAAAATGTGAGTGGTGTATATATTTCCTGAGACCGCGCAAAGTGCAAAGAATTTCAAAAGTCTCATTTCCCCTCCCTCCTTGGAGTCATGGTTTGATTTACAATTTGTACTCATTGTGGAATATCCTCTGTTCTCAGGCAGGAGATGGTCTTGATTACACTTGAGTATCTCTTTCACATTTATTTTCCAATTCGCTGCTCTTTTTACTGATACAATGTTTGACCAAGGTCACGTCTCCTCTGAAGGTTTGTGTACACGAACATGTTCAGGAAAAGGAAGGAACTCTTCGTAGTGTCCCCACTAATATTTTTCCAGCAACCAACATTAGAATCATAGAACCCCTACAGTGCGGAAACAGGCCCTTCGGCCCAACAAGTCCAAACTGACCCTCAGAGCATCCCACCCAGACCCATCCCCCTATAACTCACCTAATCTACACATCCCTGAACACGACAGGCAATTTCTCATGGCCAATCCACCTAACCTGCACATCTTTGGACTGTGGGAGGAAACTGGAGCACCCAGAGGAAACCCACGCAGACACGGGGAGAATGTGCAAACTCCACACTGACAGTTAGCCGAGGCTGGAACTGAACCTGGGCCCTGGCGCTGTGAGGCAGCAGTACTAACCACTGAGCCACCGTGCGACCCAATTAGACTGATCACAATTCAAAGCAGTGAGTTGCTTCAGTCCTGAAGAAGGGTAATACCTGAAACGTTGACTACTCCTTTCCTCCAGATGCTGCCTGGCCTGCTGTGTTCTTCCAGCTTCCTGTTTGTCTACCCCAGTTGCTCAGCAGGTCTGGCAGTATCTGTGTATACAGAAACAGAATTCATATCTCAGATTGATGAACCTTTCATCAGAACTGGGAAAAGTTCGACGTGTTTCACAGTCAATGAAACTTGATGGAAATAGGAAGGATAGTCAGTAACAGTAAGGAAAAGGGAGGTCAGTGATAAGGTGGAAGTCTGGAGAAAAATAAATAGCGAAAAGGTTTATAGTTAATCGGAGTAGCAACTGAACATGCCTAAATCCCAAAAGAAAAACCAGGAAGAACCAAAACCAGGGAAAAGCAATTCAAAAAGGGAATGAAAACGAAGGCACAAGTTATAGTGAAGCTACTCAACATAGATAACAAGGTGTAGAGCTGGATGAACACAGCAGGCCAAGCAGCATCAGAGGAGCAGGAAAGCTGACGTTTCAGGCCTGGACCCTTCTTC